GCGCCCGCCCCTGCACCAGTCTTTTAAACTGGCTTGGAGGCGTGGTCCGCGTAAGGCTCCGCCCCCACAGGCTCCACCCCCCGCAGGCCCGCCCTTCCGCGCCACTTTCGGTTTCTTTTTCTGCGCGCGATGGAGAGACCAGGCCGGCTCGACCTTTTCCAGAAAATCGGGGAGCCCTTCCCGGCAGGACCCCTACCCTGGCCTAACCTCTCACCTGTCCTAGGACCCCCTCCATCAAGGTCTCTAGCCCCACCCCTGAATCCTTTGGGCCCTTCTCAGACTCCCCCTTCGAACCTGGCGGCCCTACTTTTGCCCCCACTACCCTTGGTCGCAGATTTCTGCATCTAAGCCCTTTAGGATACTCTGGACTGACCCTGACACACCCCTCTCCCCTGCACCCATCTCAAGTAGATTTCTGTCCTCTACCATGGAACCAGACACCTCCACCCGACTCTGGAGTCCCGCCGTGGATCCTCGGCACTGCTCCCACCATTGTCCTGCCTTCGTAGTCCTGGGGTCTCTAGATGGCCGCCTCTGCACCCCTCCCTGCCTGTCTTGGGCTTCCCAGGAAGCAGCATCCTGACCACAGGCTTCATAGGAACCCTTTGGCGGCACGGGAGGGGCACCTCGACTGCAGGCCCAGTTCCTCAGAAACCGGGCGGGGCCTGGTAAGGTCCCCGGTGGCCTTGACTGGCCCTCTCCACTATACAACATCTGGAGAAACTGAGGCCCGGGGCTGAAACTGAGGGGCTGTGATTTGCAGTGACTGGCAGAGGGGGAGCCCTGAACAAGACGTGCCCTCTTCATTTTTATTTTGGGAAGAGGAGCAGCTGGGCGTCTCTAAACACAATTTGGAACCCAGTGAAAAGATGGTTCATTTTCAGATTTGATAATTCCGAAAACCTACTTTTGAGTTTTCCTGCTCAGCCCTCCTTTCTCCCCTATCTCTACTACTTAAGATTCCCCTCCCACTGATTGAGTCGGGCCCCCTCCCCACATTCAAACTTCGCGCTTGGGATGATGGGGTACCAGCTATGACTTGTACATTTGTGTGTGAGCCTGTCTGTCGTGGAGAGGTACGGAGTAGGTGCCTGGCTGCTACATGTAGTTTTGAATGAAAGAAACAACAAATGAGCATTGGGACTGGTTAGTGGTGAGTCTGAGAGCCTGGAGGGGTCATGGGAAAGATGCCAGGCTTGGAAGCTTGGGCCACACACTGGCACACACTGCCCTCTACAGGCAGCTGTCAGACTGCAGCCCAGCTAGGTCTGCTCCAAGCCTTGGCACCAGGTCCTCCTGCCTGCCTCTCTGGTGCATTCCTTCCCTAGCCCCAGAGAGCCCGGGCCCCCTGTGTTTCCTCATGAACACAAGGGGGTGGCTCAGAACCAGCCTTGCTTAGGAACCCATTGGCTGCCTGAATTCATGTTAATAACAGCTGGTATTAGTCACTGATGTAGTGGTCCTGGTGTGTGTGTGTGTGTGTGTGTGTGTGTGAGCACACAGGGGAGTGAGAAGATGCAGAGCCATGCGTGTGCCAGGGGTCAGGTGCTGTGGTCATTCTGGAGTCACAAAATACAAAGTAGCAGTTAAAAGCTGGATTTTGGACCCAGAATTGGTTACCAATTCTGCAACTTTCTGTCCTTGTGACCTTGAAAATGTGGTTAACTCATTCGCCTTGGTTTTTCCATCTATGAAAGAGGTAATAGTAATATCTCCCTCATAACGCAGGGATTAAATGAGTGATTACGGGTCAAGTGCTTAGAACAGTCCCTGGGGCATAGTAAGCTGTCGGTAGGTGTTTGCCATTGTTGCCGCTCTTCCTTAGCTGCTGTCTGTGGGTGTGGCAGGGTATTGGAGTCCGCAGACACGTGGCTTCATTTGAGAAGCCCTGGTCCAAGGAGTGCAGGCCATAGAAGGCATGGGTAGAGCAGAAGGAGAGTTTCACGGAGGTAAACCAGGCCCCTGGATGCTGGCAGTGAGAGGCATAGCACCTCCTCACTTGAGCTGGGAGCGGGTGGTCCAGACCCAGCTAAGGAGGCCAGGCCAGGCTGGCTCCTGCATGACTTGTCTTCCTGCCAGCATGTCTCTTTGACAGGCCTCTGGGCAGAGGGAAATCTATAAATAGCTGATGGCCCATATCCCCTCTGCACCCCCCACTGACAGCCCAGATGGCTACTTAGGAGAGCCACCTCTTTTCCCCAGGGGCTAGGGCCTCTTCTTCTCCGCCCCCCACTTGCTGGCACACTCCCATCCATCCGCATGGAGCCCCCTCCTTTATTTCATTTACTGACATCTGTGATGTATTGGCCTAAACTGACTGTATGCTAAATGCTTTATACTTAGACCATTGGGTTGAACACAACAGTCAATCTGCCCATTTTACAGATGGGGGCTAGAGGGGGAGTCACTTGCCCAGGGGCACATAACTCAGAAGGGGCAGAACAGATATTCATACCCAGGATGTAGGACCCCAAAGCTTTTGCCCTTATCAGGTGTGCTATAAACTCCCTCCTACCCCCACCCCCAACCCCCAAGATCCCTGGTGATCTCAAATCCCCATCCACGTTCTAGAAAACAGTAGATGCCAAAGAAATCAGAGAGATTCATTTGTGTCCTGAGCCTACCTGGGGAGGAATAAGGACAGTTCTGCCGACTTCCCTCTTCTTGGTAACATGGGGAGGCTCCAGGTCTTGCCACGCAAGTCTCTGTCTCACTCTCTGTGGCTCTGGGCCCTTCGGCATCTCAATTTCCTAGCCTATACAATGGGCCTGGCCTCATCCTCCACCCTGACCAAATCCTGGTTGTGCAAGCCTTGGTGAGTGAGGCACAGTTGCTGAGAACACGTGGGTTTTCCTCACCACCAGCAGTGACAATTACTATAGCTTTGGTTTCATTTTCTGAAATCCTGAATTCAAAATGAAACCAAACCCAGATGCCAAAAGGGAATAAGAAATATGCTGATTGACAAGCATCTGTCTCCTTGCCCTTTCTCCCTGGAGGAGTGGCACTGGACTCATACGAAGCTAGGGAGCATGGGAGCCCTGAGGAGCTCAGACTCGATAGATGTGGAGCTCACAGGCAAGCAGCTTGCCCTCTCTGGGCTCATTTGCCCCATCTGCAAAATGGGCTTTGGACGTTTTGTGCCTCACAGAGCAGCAATGGAAGCAAAGCCAAAAGTAAAGTGCCAGGCACAGAGAAGGTGCTTAGCGTAGCTGACTTCTTGTCACAGGGCAGCTGGGTCAGCAGTATGTCCACAGCTAGACATGTGGGCTAGTTCTTCACCCCCCCCAACACCTTGGCAGCTCTGGCAGCCCAGATGTGAGGGGCCCAGCCAGCAGCTGGGGGGAATCAAGATCTTGACCCTTGGCGCTGGTTTTCAGTTTCTCTTTCCAGCTTTGGCAAAGTCCTGCTGGGAAAAGCAGCCCCTGGTCAGGTCGTGTAATCCTGAAACCGCCCTCTTCCCCAGTGCTCCTCCGTGTTTTTCATAGCCGAGGCTCCCAGGGGGGTGTGCACCTCTCAGGAGCCCCAAGCTGCGGGGCTTAGCACAGGGATTCTCCCCTTAGCCAGCCTGGGTTTAAGTCTGTCACTTAATAAGCACATGGCCTTGGGCCTGCTTTTTAGCTTCTCTGTGCCTCAGTTTCCTCATCTGCAGAATAGGGGTAATAACATTTATTTCACTCTTTCAGTTTTTATTCAGTAGATAATTATTGAGTGCCTACTGTCTGCCAGGCACTGGGAACTCACGGGTCTTCAAGTAGACATAGGGGAAGCAGACAATGAATTCATAGGATCATTTCAGATCATGGTTTAAGTGCCATGGGAAAATAAACAGGGGGAAAGGGAGCAACACGATGTTTGTGGGTTGGGGGCAGGTGTGAGGTAAGGCAGTCAGGGAAAGTCTCTTGGAGATTAGAGTTGAGGCCTTTCTAAAAGTGGGATGAAAAGGATTCCAGGTAGAGAGAACAGCCACTGCAGAGGCCTTGTGGCGGGAGTGATCGGCATACTTGAGGATCAGAAAGGAGACACATGCAGTTGGTGTAGAGAGCAAGGGCGTGAGTGCTGGGGTGAGGTATAGAGGTTGATAGGGGTCCAATTGATGGGGCAGGGCTTTGTTGGGATGTGAGAGGGGTTAAGAGTACATCCTGATTGCAGGAGACATTCCTCCAAGCCCAGGAGACACTGTAAGACTGGGTGTGGAAAAAACCCTCTGGCTGCTGACTTTCCGGACAGCTGGGGCTATAGCCACAGTGACCTATAGTGGGGGCCTTGGGACATACCTCATGACCGTCCCTCACACACGAGCTCCCCACCGCCCCCTGCCCAGTTCACCACACTAGCCCCTGAAATGGGTGCAAAGACAGTCCCAAGGGAAGCCAGGACATTCATGCTT